GGCGCGGGGAGGGTGGTGGTGGTGGCGGCGTGGAGGGGGGGGGCGGAGACGGGGCGCCCATCCGCACCTGCCGCCAGGCAGAGTGTCCCGCGGCAGCGGCCCTGCGAGAGCGATGCGGTTGGCAGGCAGCACGTGTGTGTGGCACGGAACAGCAGTATTATGCAGAGCGATATATAAGAAACAGGACTGTGTGCAGATCTTGAACCCAACAGTCGCGGGGCCCGACCTGCCCTCCAGGCCTCAGGCCAGCGCGGGAGCAACGGGCTGAGAACAAACAGGCGGGCGGCAGCACACATGGCAGCCGCAAGCACAGCCTAGCGTCGAGGTGCACGAGCGAGGGGGCTGGCGCACGGGCGGGTGGGGGCGTGGCGGCTCACCCTTCTGGTCAATCGTGGCAGCCGCCGCGCCGGCCTCCTCTGCAGATTCAAGCGGTTTCCGTTTTGGTGTTGGCGTTGCGATGAGGGCGATAGTGATGGTGGTGGCGTGGGGGGGTTAAGCGAGCATGAACCCAGCGGAAAGGATATTGCAGTCCAGGAGACGCAGCTTGCCCGCCCCTTAGGCAGCTGGAAGAGCGGCGCCAGCATACCGACCGGACCGCTTCCCCTTTCTTTTTGCCACCTCCCGCCCCTCGCCCCGCAGGCCGCCCCTTCTGCCAACCCCACGCCATCCCCCTGCTCAGCCCGCCTGAAAAAAGGAATGCGAAAAGCAAAGAGCAACAGCCCCTTTGGTTAAGACTCGCGTTGCGTCGCGCCGCACCCACCCGGCCGCTTCTCCAGCGGCTCGAGCGCGCTCTCGCTCGGCCGCAGCGGCGCCAGCACCGCGCTCAGCTTGCCCTCGGGCTTGACGCGCTGCCGCCGCAGTGGCGACAGCAGCGTGAAGCGGCCCAGGCCCGCGGCCCCTGACAGCGACAGCTCGCAGCCGGGGGCGCCGCCCGCGCGGCCGCCTAGGGCCCCGTCAACCTGGGGGCGGCGGGGGGGGGTGTGGTTGGTGGTCGTGGGCGTTTGGAGACCTTTTGGGTGGGAGCTGGAGCTGGAGAGTCTGTCGCGCAGTGGGCGGATTCGCAACGGCAAGCCGCCGCCGTGGGAGGGGGCGGCGGGGCTGGATCCAGTGCCTGGGTGGCCATGACGCATGTTGCGGACCAGCTGGAGACGTCAGAGAGCGCACACATGCACGCGCTGCCCGCCACTTGCAGCAACACGCGCGATTTGTGAAAGCCACTCCCGTGGCTTTCACGGGAGCACAGGAGCAGTCCCGGTCCTTCAAATCGTTCAGACGCGGGCCGACTGCCAAACTTTGGAGACCCTTGACGCAGCCGAAACCCCCTGGGACCTGCGGCCGCGGTCAGGCTGACGCCCCACCTGCAGGCCGTGGAAGCTGACTTCGATCTCGAGGGAAGCTGCCCCGAGGCTGGACCAGAACTGGCAGAGGGTGACCTCCAGGGTGGAGCCGCCGATGACCCTGGGGATGGGGTTGTTGCGGTTTTGTGGGGCGGAGGGGCGCGGGTGTCAATAGCATGTCGCTTCCTTTGGTCTGGTGTGAACTCATAGGCGGGTGGGGTGGGCCGCAAAGCGGCGTTGAGAACGCCACAAGACTCTCTTTTTGTATGCAAGTGGGGAGACTGTTGTGAATGCGATCGGGGCACCATTGTTGTGTGTGAGTGGAAGAAGGACCCCCGGATCTGGGGTCCCTTGGGGCGAGGTGCGGCTGCGTAAGCTCGGCAGTTGGCGAGCGGCCGCTGATTAAGAGCGAGCACGACGCAGCCGCGCTCAGGGGCGCATCGTGGGGTGACAAGCTTTTGCTGTTTGGTTGCAGTTGGGCGGCAGGGTTTGGGTTCCCATGAACGAGCCATCATGTCTGCTATGACTGTGTGGCGACGCGATGAGGCATGATGAGTCACCTGAACTGCGCGGAGTACTCTGAAGTTGGGCTGAGCGTCAGGTTGGTGCGCCACTCGCTGGCGGTGTAGCGCGTGCCCGGCGCCAGCTGGCTCGCCCTGGGGTCATGGGGGGTATGGGGACGAGGTAGGGCTGGGCGTGGGGATGGGTGTGTGCGCGTGTGTTTGTGTGGGTGGAGATCGATCGGGATGGAAGGGTGTGGCATGGGGGGATGATACATGGTATGGAGGAGACACCCGCGGGGGAGGCAGGAGCGGCAAGGCGCACATGAGAGGTGCGCCGCGGGACGCGTCTGGGAGTCGAGGAGTCGGGCCCGAGGCGGACGGCAGCTGCAAGGAAGCTGGCCCCCGCAGAGGCTGCTTCTATGTGCCAGGCAACGCCTGGTCTGCACGCGCTCCCGACCCAGGCCCCTCTCCCGCCAGGCGCGGGCGCGTGTCGCTGGCCTGACATCCGCCCTGCGACGGCGGACACCCGCACCCCATCCCACCCTTCCCCTCATTCAACAAGGCATCAAGTTTACCCCAATGCACGCGTGGGAAAGCGCTCGCCTGATGAGGAAGAGCTTGGGAGTGTCGAACTCGCCGCCCTTGAACGTGGCCTCCGCCCACGTGGCGCCGTCGGGCACCGCCACAAACTCCCGCACCTCCTTTCCTGCAGACAGCTCAACGGGGCCGAGCTTGAGGGTGTACGGCGGCGGGTGCTGCCCGCCGCCGTTTGTGGTGGCAACAGCGAAGCCGCCGCCGCCGCCGTCGCCCTCCGACCAACCGGCGGAGGAGGCGGCGAGCGCGCCGCCGTCCGGCGCCGGCGTGACGCCCGGCG